CTTATGCAACATTTGTCCTTTTGTGGCTGATTAATTTCACTCAGCATAATGTCCTCAAGGTGCATCCATGTTATGTGGTGGCTTGCAGCTTCCTTGTTATTCTTCAAGGTAGCATAATATTCCACTGTGTGGATGTACCAAACTTTATCTGTTTTTCTATTGATGGGCACTTTTAACTTTTTTTTTTTTTTGTCCTTGATGGGAGGGAAATCTGAGTGAGAGAACTTGGTGACAAAGATCCAAGCTTGTACTGGAATTTATAAAGCTGGTTTGCAGGCTTTTAACATATGTTTAACAGTATTTCTACAGTTTAACACATGTCTTCATATACTGTCTGCCTTCCTGTGCTCCCTCTGTTGAGACTGTCCTATAGTTTCTTTACACCAGAGAGAACACTAGCCTGTGGGTCCAAAGTCCTCTGGGTTCTAGCCTAGGTCTGTCATCTGGAAAAATCCAATTCTTCTATTTTCTTTGATGATAACAAAGAAGGGAGGAAGACTGAAAAGTCTGTAAGCTATGCCCTCAAGAGCCTGATTCTATTTTATCTGCCCAGTATCCCTTATAGGCCAGCAGCTACGTATTCAAGTCAGTACTGTCTGTGAAAGAAGCGCTAGTGGTGCAATGCTTAAGCACTCAGCTTCTAACCAAAGTTACTGGTTCTAATCCTCTCAGAAGCTCCATGGGAGAAAGATCTGGTCATCTGCTCCCAAAAGACTATGGCCAAGAAAACCTTATGTGCTGGTTCTGTTCTGCCAAATGGGTTCATTGTTAAGTTGGGATCAACTCCATGGCATCCAACAACGATGTGAAAAGTGTCATTGATTGCACAAATGTGACGGTGTCAATACCAGGTGTCCAGGGTCACCTTCCAAAGCAGAGTTCTCTGGTCAGAGGTACAGTGGGTGTTAGGTGAGTTCACTCAGCTGCTCCAGTACCAGGGCCTGGGCCCAGAACCCCTCACATGGCTGACTTCAATGCCTAAAATGACTTTCTCTCACTCCCATTTTGCCCTGGAGGGTGAACCCTTGGCTGAACTTTTCTCTGGGTTGGGTGTCCCGACAGGATTGTCCACTTCCTTCCCTCTTTCCGGGGTCCTCTTCCAGCACAGGGTAGCTGGTAAAAGTGGAGTGCGGGGGAATCAGGTCAGATCAACCTCCGCGGTTGGCTTCCTGACTCTAACCCTACATGTTTGGTGACATGCGTCTCCCTTTTCTCAGCTGTAAAGTGGGGGTGGTGTCACCTACTTCTGTGTGAAGGATTAGGCACCTGGCGCTCAGCTATGGGCATTCTCCTCAATGGAGTTTTCCTCACAAACCACCCAGAGCGTGCTACTTCCCAAAGCGCTTCTATGCACCCGTCCTATTGTTCCTCACACCCCCAGAGAGGCCTCTGGCCACGCCAGACCCTTCTGCCCAAACTTCGGTGTCTCCTCAAGACACTACTCTCCTCATAAAGTCTCCTGCTCTGCTTTCTCTCCCTTCTGGGCATCACCTCACAGACGGCCATAGCCGTCCCCTCCATCGCTCGCTGGAAGCAGTAGCGACAGCTCCAGTTCGTCCAGAGCTGCCAGGCGTACAGGTGACCCGGGCCTCCACCGACGCCCTTTCCTGCCGGTGCGCGTGCGCCCCGCCCACATGTCATTCATTGCGCCTGCGCGCTCGGCGTCGCCGCAGCTCCAGGCCTTGAGCGTCTCGCAGATAAAAGCCGGAGCGCTCTGGATCTGCCGCGGTGTGGCTGGGCAGAGGCTCCCCGCGGCAAGCGAGGTTGGAGGCGTAAGGAATGAGGCCAGTGTTCCTTCTGCCTCCCGAAGGCGCCTTTCCCACGGTCCCGCGAGTTGCGGCCCTCAACCCTGTTCAAAGCGCTTTGGCTGCCCTCAGCGCTTTCGAATTCCAAAGCTGCTTCTTGATCCCCAAACCGCCTCACCGGCGGCAGAGTGCCCTAGATCAATCCTTGTTTCCAGACTTTGCAAAAGAAAATCCAGAACACTCTGCTAAATTTGAATTTCAGATAACTAACAAATTGTTTTTTTAAAGTGTACGTATGTTTAAATGTTGATGGGAAGGAACATCTGAAGGAGTGAGGGCCAGGAGGCAACAGGAAAGGATTGGCTATCTCTTTGGAGTCTTGGTGTGACGCTGTAGGATAAGCACTGGGTCACAAGATCGGCGGTTCAAACTCACCTGCCGCTCCTCGGAAACTATACAGAGTCAGTATGAGTCGACGGCACTGACCAGCAACAATGCAGTATTTGGAGTATATTATTGTGTGCTGTCTAGTCGGTTCTGACTCATAGCCATGCGAGAGAGCCTCGTGGGTGTGGACTACCGACCTTCTGATAGCAGTCCCGTGCTTATGCCACAAGGGACTGTCTCTCGAGTGTCTCTTTAGGAAGCTGAGTTCCCAAAAGGCAGGGAGCTAACATGTATTGAATGACTATTTGTTGTCGGACACCATTAGCTCTTCGCATGAACTTTTTCACTCTCATTTGGGGAGTGTTGTTAAGTGCCGTCGAGTCAGTTCTGACTCATAGCGACCCTGTATAGAGTTTCGAGGAGTGACCTTGCGGTCTAGTGCTTATCCTACAGTGCCACAGAAGGACTAGATAAGTATATTAATATATATATATATATATAATTTATCCCCCCCTTCATCTGAAACTCAAAACTAGGTGACCTGTATTTTGTCTGGTCACCTGTGCTAAGCATCTTTCCCGCTTAATAGCAGGAAGGCCCAGCCAGCTTCTTCTCCCCACATTTGCCTCTCTTAAAAATGCCAAATGTGGGAGTTGGTTTTCCTAAGCTCTGGCTGACAAGAGAAGCTCTGAGGTTTTCCAAGACTTCACAGCTGAGTGGGTCTTTCCGACTGTAGCTGGATTCAGAGGTACATGGTGAGAGAGGCTTGAACCAGTGTCCCAATAAGCAAGGTAAACACGGGCTTTCTTGTGTTTACTTGTTCATCTGAGTGAGCAATTTTACATTTTTCCACCACATCAAAGATACTGCTTCTAGGTGTGGCTGGCCATCTGGCTCCCACAAAGCCATAGCTTTGTACAGAATCAAATTCTCTTCAAATTTACAATCCCTGACAGAACTGGAGTACCTGGGAAGCAAGGTAAGCATGGGCTTACTTGTGCATATTTACTAATCTGTAGTGAATAATTCACTACAGATTAGTAAGTAAACACAAGTAAACCCATGCTTACCTTGGTTATTGGGTAATTTCACCCCTGACTTGAGCCCATACACAACTGCTGATGATCTTGCAGCTGGTTCCTCAAGCAGCCAAAATAAAATTATGGTGAGAGGTTTCTGCCTGGCAAAAAGTGGCCCACAGAGAAGGGTGGGACTGGGTGTTGGCTGCTTTCCTTGAGTGAAAAATCTTCCACCCCAGCTCTAAGAAGCCAGGATTGGGCAGAACTGTCTGGGCAGCTGGCAGAGTGCCTGTCTAGCACACAACCTTGGTGTACTCCAAAGGCTAGGTCCATTGAGATCTGAATCATACCTTTGAGTCTGTGCTCAGTACTGATGCTCTCCTCTCTAACTCTGCCACTCACAGGTAGACCTCTGTGAAAGAGGCAGCTTCCATTTCTGGAAAATCCATCATTTAGGGAATCGTGGGAGCCTTCCTTTCCCTGTCTCTTGAGTGTCTCTTCAGGAAGCTGAGTTCCCAAAGGGCAGGGAGCTACCATGTATTGAATGACTATTTGTTGTTGGACACCATTGGCTCTTCACATGAACTTTTTCACTCTCACAATTGTCTTGTGAGATCTTTATCTTCATTATTTGGTCTGTGAGAATCAAAGAGCTCTTGAAAATACTCCCTTTGAGAGGGTTGGCTCAGCAGAAAATGCCCCACCTTGAAAATGGTACTGGAAATGAAGGGTGGAGGCACAGTTGCCACTGAAGAAGTACTTCAGGTGAGTCGGTTGTTCTTCCTGACTTCCAGCCCTTGTCTTTGAACAGAGCCTTGGAGATGAAGATGATCGTAATTCCCAATGCTATCCTAGAGCAGGTGAGGCCTAATAAAAGGCAGGTGAGACACAGCCGCCCTCCCTTTCAGATGCAGGCAGAAGTGAGGAAGGACACCTTTGTTGTGAGGGCCTGTTTTAATATGGGTTGAATTATGCTCTCCCAAATGCAAGTGTTTTAAATCCTCACCCTACCACTGGACCACAAGGTTAGTTTGAACCACAAGATTGATGGTTTAAACTCACCAACTGCTCCTCGGAAACCCTATACAAAGTTGCTATGAGTCAGAACCAACTCAGTGGCACTTAACAAGAGCAATGGGCGCAGTGGCTGCAACAATGAGCTCAAACATAGCAATAATTGTGGGGATGGTGCAGAATCTGGCAGGGTTTTGTTCTGTTGTGCTTGGGGTCACTATGAGTCAGAAGCGACTCCCACCACCACGTAGGGATGTCATCCCATTTGGGGACAGGATTTTCTCCGTGAGGTGAATGAGATCATATCATTGTAGGGTGGGTTTTAAGCCAATCAGCTTTGAGATCTGAAAGAATCAAACTAAGTAAGAAATACGAATGGAGAAAGATTAATGTAATGTAGTGTCACCAAGGAATCAAGGAAGAGACAGAAATCTTTTTCCCAAATTGGGCAGAGAGCCTTCCCCTAGGGTTGATGCTCTGAATTCAGACTCCTAGCCTGCAGAGGTTAACCCCAGTAATTTAGGTGGAAAATATCTTTTCAAGTTGTCAAGGACTTCATTCTTCTTGGATCAACTATCAACACTCGCGGAAGCAGCAGTCAAGAGATCAGACGACGTATTGCA